CTCTACCAATTGGGCTTGTCTGTGCGTATGCATGACCAATACTACACAGTTGTCAGCACGTGTGGGAGAGGGCAGGGCACGACGTATTTACCGTGATTGTCCGGGCAACGATTTTTTGTTGAAATCAGCTGGGTGGTGAAAACTTAGAAACGCCCCCACCCTCCCCCCAAGATTCTATCACATGGGCTTGGCTGTGTGTGTATATGACCAATACTGCCTCTATGTTGGCATGTGTGTGAGCAAGGCATGATCTGTTTACACATGTATATATATGGTACAGCGTTGCCAGCCCCCCCCCCCTCCCCCCCCAATGGTCATGGGTCAGACAAGTACCCCCCCCCCCCTGTGGTTGTGGTCCTGTGGTTGGGTTGTGGTGGTTTGGGGTTGGTTTAGAATTGGTTCAGGGTATATTTAGGGTGTATTTCGGGTTAGTTTAGGGTTGATTCATTTAGGTTGCTTTATGTTGATTTAGGGTTGGTTTAGGGTTGGTTTAGGTTTAGAGGTGTACGGTTTAGGGTTTGGTTTAGGGTTTGGTTTAGGGTGTATTTAGGGTTGGTTTAGGGTTGATTTAGGGTTGGTTTAGGTTCAGAGGTCTACGGTTTAGGGTTTGGTTTAGGGTGTATTTAGGGATGGTTTAGGGTTGATTTAGGGTTGGTTTAGGTTTAGAGGTCTACGGTTTAGGGTTTGGTTTAGGGTGTATTTAGGGATGGTTTAGGGTTAGTTTAGGGTTGGTTTATGGTTGGTTGCGGGTTGGCTTGTCCTGGGGGTGGGGGTGCCGGGGTGTCGGGGTGCGAGTTCAGGGGGTCGGGACCGTAGGTGCCAGGATCCGGGGGCTCGGGGTCTCGGGCCGGGGGGGGGGGGGTCCTGGGGAAGATAGAACCAAAGGGGGGGGGGTGGGGTAGCAACAAAACCCGGGAAACCCGGGACCATATATAGAAATATAATAATCCTTGCAAACACATACAAAACCCTCCCCCACCCCCCAGATTCTATTAACTGGACTCCTCTTTTGTGAACATGCCCAATACTACATATGACCTATTTACAGGTAGACCTTCATTGTCGGGGCATCCGTGTTTTCTTGGGGTTGTCGGAGCTTGAAATCAGCTGGGCGGTGAACAATTAGACACGCCTTCCCCCCCCCTCAAATTCTACCAGTTGGACTTGTCTGTGTGCCTACGTGACCAATACTACATGTATGTCAGCCCGTGTGTGAGCAAGGCAGGATCTATGTGTAGACATGTAGACCTTCATCCTCGGGGCATCGGTGTTTTCTTGGGGTTGTCGGAGCTTGAAATCTGCTGGGCGGTGAACACTTAGAAACGCCCCCCTCCCCCTCAAATTCTAGCAATTTGACTTGTCTGTGCACACACATGGCCAATGCTACCTTTCTGCCAGCACGTGCGTGAGCAAGGCATGATCTGTTTACACATATATATATATATAGAGACCCTGATTCAGTGTTTTCTTGCAGCTGCCGGAGCTTGACATCAGCTGGGCGGTGAACACTTAGAAACGCGTCCCCCACCCCCAGATTCTACCAGTTGGACTTGTCTGTGAGTAGACATGACCAAAACTACATATCTGTCAGCACGTGTGTGAGCAAGGCATGATCCATTTGCACATATTTACACCTTCATCCTCGCGGCATCGGGGGTTTGCCGCAGTTGCCGGATTTTGAAATCAGCTGGGCGGTGAACACTTAGAAACGCACCCCCCCCCCAAAAAAAAAAACAAAAACAAGAAGGATTCTACTAGTTGGACTTGTCCGTGCGCACGCATGACTAATACTACATATATGTCAGCACGTGTGTGAGCAAGGCGTGATCTAGTTACACACATATATATATATATATGTAGAGACCCTCATCCTCAGGAGCATCGGTGTTTTCTTGAGGTTGCCCGAGATTGAAATCAGCTGGGCGGTGAACACTTAGAAACGCCCCCCCCCCCCCAAACAAAAAGGATTCTACCAATTGGGCTTGTCTGCGCGTATGCATGACCAATACTACACAGTTGTCAGCACGTGTGAGAGTCAGCAGGGCACGACGTATTTACCGTGATTGTCCGGGTGGGTGGTGAAAACTTAGAAACTCCCCCCCAGTTTCTATCACATGGACTTGGCTGTGTATATATATGACCAATACTGCTTCTATGTCGGCATGTGTGTGAGCAAGGGATGATTCATTTACACAAATTAATTGTGTAGTTCCGTTGTTTTTCTTGCCTGGTCAACTCTTCTCTCTCTCGGGGCAACGCCCGTGACCAACGCTTACAAGCCGCAGGTACCTCTCGGGCAACAAATAGAAACGTTTCTAGGTGTTTGACGGCTGGTAAAAACGTTTCTAGGTGTGTGACGGCTGGTAAAATGCATTAGAATCAACATAAAGGAGAAAAATCGTTTCTATTTGTTGGTCGGCCGAACCTTTTCTCTCTGTTGAATTTACAGTTTTATTTTGTTCGTTTCTAAGTGTTTGTCGGAAATTTTGGAAACCAAAGCCGTTTCTAAGTGTTTGTCCGTCACTATAGAGGTCCTGAGTCAGGTTTCCTCATGTTTCCAACAGAAGAGGCATCAGCCTCGCCTAAAGGAAACTTTCTGTGATTGGCCTTTAGGCCGACAAGTTGAATTTGGCACAAAATGTGTCTTGCCCTCTCTGGCAGAAAGCACGTTCCCTCCTGCTCTTGGAAGGCAGTGTTCATCGCAAACTCCGGCCGATCAAACTGCTCCAGCATGTCAAAGACTCCCTGGACAAAAACAACGGCGACAAGCGGCTGGCTGCATTTGACACGAAATGAAAACTGATTGCAATGTATTTGGTGAGAAAACATGCGTCTCAAGTCACATGTGTGCCATTGTCAAAGCTCCTGGTTCCCGAACAGACACCCGTACAATGGTTGCCAAGCATCTTCCAGGGTTGAATGATTAATGAGCCACCCCTACCAAACTTCAAGCATGGGTGATATTGTGACCATGGGCGTGTGTTCAGTTTCTTGCGCGTGTTTCCAGTCTTGGGGGCATGTTAAGAACAAGCTCTTCAATAGCCTTTGGACCAGCTTCGAAGCCGTACATGGGTAGCACCAGCTTCCTGAGCCGCACGCATCTGGCACCCCCAACATCAGAATTGCGTGAGCCTTGAATCAAAATTGCGAGCCATGCAGCTGCACGGTGAGAAAAAGCTTCTGTCGCTCGACGCTGAGCCTTTTGGGGTCGTGCCTCAGAAGTGCGCAAAGCACGGCAAGTCCACCAAGGCACCCTCGCAGCGGCCAAGCTGCTTGAAGGATCTTATCAGCTCCTGCCAAGCGTCCGGGAGACATGAAAACGTTGACAAACGCACAGCTCCTGGCGCTTAGCTTGGAAGTCGGCGTCCGAGAAGCCCTGCAGCAAGTCCCGCCTCACATGAGAACACCGACACGTGCTGTGGGAAGGCTTTCTGTAAATTGCTCCAACCTGCAACTGAGCCGGGCGGCTGCAACGAGAGCGCCTGAAACGTGGTGAGCTTCGGCGCTGCCGGACGCGCCGACTTCAGAACCGGCGTGGGGGCCGGCACCGGAGTTGGTTGCGCCGGCCAGGCATCGACCTACCAGGTTGAAAACAGTCACCGAAATACGCGAAAAACATCAGAGTCGCTTTACCATGTGTTTTTGGGTGACTCTGTGTGGCCAAGGTGTAAAGCTTACCTACTTTGGAACAGAAATCGCGCGCGCTATTCTGTCCGGAAAAGAAAAGGAGCGTGCGCGCGCCTTCCTCTCGCTGGACTCGCTTGGCGGCCTCAGGCACAAGTGACTCTCGCTCGCGCACAAGTACTAAACCTGAAGGTGACAAAGCTGCACGGTGGTGCCTGCCACCATCTTTCAAAATATCAACCCCGGCAATCCGATGCCCTGAAGGCAGAAACGTGGGTTTCTCTCCACTTCAACTGTGTTCTTAAGGTTGGTCCTGTATTTGTTTTCCCGTCCCGATGGCGAATTCCGGAGCCCCTTTTTTAGCCAAGACAGGAGCTGCTAGTGAAAGAGCGGCAACCCCAACGAGGGTCATGAGCCCAAACCTGTCCTGAGCATCTCGGTGGAATGACCGGGATGCGGAGAAGAAGGTCCAGAAGCATGGAATCTGGCTTCGGGCGTGATGTCCATGAGCAAGAAGAACAGCCAGATCATGCAGAAGGACGACAAGAAGAAATTCGAACGGGAGTGGCAGTAAACCCGTTCTGGAGCCAGAAAGCACAGGATGAAGTGGTGCTGAGGGCGAGCCGACCAAGCGGGCTGCCACCGGTGCTGGGGACGGATAAAACCAAGAGAAGAAGGAGCGAGATGGAGAAGAATTACATCAAGGCGTGCCGTACAGTGCGCGGGATGGAAAAGCAGAGGGAGTACCTCTTTCAAAGGTTTGAGGAGCGAGGTGAGGAAGTGGCTGGTAGAGGCAGCGTTCTGGAAGGAGCATGATCAGAAGGAGGCAGAGAGGTTCGTGACGCCCGCGGAAAAGATGGAGTTGTTTGCGACGCCGATGGAGCCTTCCTATGTGCTTGCGATGCCGCCGCCACCGCCACCACCACCTCCAAGGCTATGGAGGACGCCGGTACCAAGATCTAGGTCGCCACCGAGATCACCTCCGAGATTACCACCAAGGAACACAAGGATGACACCTGGCAGGGGCTACGATACCGGAAGGTGAGCCGTCAAGGGAAGAGAATGGTAGAGAGGCGGATCGCGGGTGGCAGGCAGAATGGTTGGATGAGGACCGACGGTGGCAGACAGAACGGAATCCCAGGAGCTGGACAGCATGGAAGAGCTGGAAGGGCTGGGAAAGTGAGGAGAACCAGAAACTCGCAGTGGAACAAGTTGAGTCAGGAGGCGCTGGTGGAAAAATAGAACTGCCGGAGCTGGTGTACGACCACTCGCCGTTGACTCTGGGAGATTGGATAGCTCAGGTTGGACCCCAGATGAGTGCGCAAGGAGCGGCAGAATGGTGGGCTGGGACCATGGGGCAGGCAAAGCAGCTCTATGAAGTCTGGCTGAACTCAACGCCGCTGTGCCGGAGCGGCTGAAAACCCCGAGGTTCGTCAGGACGGAGCAGAGAGGTGTGACACTGCTCTTGAAGGCGGTGCCGGAGGAGATTTGGAAGGAGCTCATCTCAGCGCGTCGACGGGGGTGTTGTATAGACTCCTGGTCACTTACCAACCTGGAGGCCCGGCAAAAGAGCTCTCATCTTGAAGAAGCTCACGGACCTGGGGGCGATGAGGAACTACGCGGAAGCGGCAACGGCTTTAAGGGATCTGAGGGCTCAGGAGATTGGGGCTACGCTTCCGGACCCGACCCTGCTAGCTGTGGCGCTGGAACGGGTAGTTCAACTGGTGAACAAGGGAGGTACGCAGGCCTTCAGGGTGGCTCAGGCAAGGTCGCAACTTGGCCTGGACACGGCGCCTACGGCCCTCGGCATCTGGAGCTACTGGGAGCTGTTGCTGGCGGAAATGGACACAGCGAAGCTCATGGTTTCGGAAGGAGTGGCACAGCCCAAGGGTCAAGGCAATGCAGACTGGAGGTGAGCGAGTAGGTCAAGGAGGACACCATGAAGGAACAGCGTCGGCCAAGAAAGAGGTCACCAACTGCAGGTACTTCATATCGGGTTGCAGAGCCGGGCGGAGCTGCAAGTGGCCTCACGATTGGGAAGGGGTTACAGACAAAGCAGCGCGGTGCTGGACCTGTGGCGCAAAAAGCCACAGGAAGGCAGACTGCGCGGTCAAAGCCGGGAATCCATATGCAGGAGGGAGACCAACACCAAAGAGCTGGGGAGGAACAGGTGCGGAAAAATCGCTTTTGCCAGGAGTTGGAGAGACCAGCAGCATGGCGGAAAAAGAGACTACATCATGGGCGGCGAGTACTACAGGAGGTGGAACTGCGGCAGGTGGTGCAGGTAGCGGAACGGGGGAGCTGTTGGCCGAGGCAAGAAGTCTTCTTCGGTCGCTGCGAATGCCGTCTATGAATGCGGTGATAGTGGTGAAGCAGGTTGGAAAGGAAGGCCACGGGATGGGTCTTCTGGATGGAGGAGCAACGCACGCACTGAGGCCTGGAAAGAACCAAGAAGAATGGAGCCAAGCCGCGATCGTCGATATGCACCTGGCAGATGGTTCGAGTACGAAAATGCGGAGCAAGCCAGGAACGTTGACGCTGCTGGCGGAAAAGGGCACGCAGGTCGTAGCGCCGATGGGTGCAATGACGGAGGTTGGACACATGGTGACGTGGTCCAACGGTGTGTGCGCGGTGACCTACAAAAAGAACCCGGTGAAGGTCACGATGGTTGCAGGCTGCCCAACGGCGGAAGAAGAGGTGGCCTTGGGGGTGATTGAGCAGATGGAACAGAAGAAAGCGGAGCTCAATTGGAAGCTGGCAATGCTGGTAGAATCCACCAAGCCGACCTATGAGGAAGCCATGCTCAGGGTGTTGAAGGAGTTCTTCGTGGACGTTCCGGACCATGTGCTGGCTAGGTTGGTGGCTGCAGGAGTACGATCCGGTGAAGCTGCCGTGGACGGTTGAGCGGGCGGAGAGAATCCATGTTCATCTATTCTCCGGGGACGAGAAGAAATGGCGGGACATGGAGACAGGAGGAACGGTGATCATCTGCCTGCATAAGATCAACCACCCGGGTCAGGGCTTGCTCAACGACGATGTCTACGGCTATCTCTTGGCCTTGGCAAAGAGTGGGGCGGTGGTGAGTGTCATAGGTGGCCCTCCCTGCCGTGTTAGTATGGAGGTCGAAATCGCCGGGACCAAGACCGGTGCAGAGTGAGGGGTTTCCGGACCTCACCAACTCGGAAAGGGAAATGGTGGAAGGGGGCTCCATATTGTGGTTGCGGATGATGACGGTGTACCTTGTGGCGGAGGAAACTGCGAGAAGGAGAAGCTTGCCTACGGTGGCATATGGACAGGAACAACCACGTGATCCTGGGGACTACCGGGTGGATATCCCGAGAGAGAACCTGGTCAGTTGTGTGGCGGTTCCGGGCGTGGAAGGCGTTCGCTACAGGATGGGCCGCTGGGTCATGAAAGACGCAAGCCTACGACGATCGCCACGAACTTGGAACAGCTGCGGGGACTGGGGGAGGTTGCAGGACCGGGCCAAGGCGGTGAAGCGTGGTTGGAGAACCTGCAGGAGAGGATCGCTCAGACAAAGAGGTGGTCGGCATGGGCACCGGGACTGGTGCAGGCATCACTGAGGAGCCATGAAGAAGGACAAGTTCGTGCTCTTCGACCTTCGAGTGCAGCGGCAAAGGAGCAGTGGAAAAGGCATTTTGAATGTGACCATCAGCCAGCTCGGCGGGATTGCCGCACATGCGTGGAGAGTCAAGGAAGGGGTCGACCTCACCGTCGGATACAACACCCGCAGGCATATACGCTGGCGGTGGACTTGTCGGGACGACTGGCTGCTGGAAAAGATCAAAGGTGCCAGGCAAAGTACTTCCTTGCCGCGGTGTACACCTATCCGACTGATGGTCAAGGACGGTCCCTAGGGGCAGAGCGGCCGGACGAGGCAGAACACGAGGCTGAGGACCGTGAGGAGATGGACATAGATATGCTGGAAGAGAAAGAAGAGGGAGAAAGGGTGCCAGAAAAGGAGGCCGAGAAAGAGATCAAGGCCGGGGACATCTGGGAAACGAAGATTGAGGAGGCGCACGACGTGGCGGTCACGAACCTGACGTTTGTAGAGCCAATCGAGGTGTCGGATGTCCTTCCAGCAATTGCGCGTGTCTATGCGAAGCGGGTCTGCCAGTGTATAGGCTGCACACGGGTCGGGCCAGAGAGCTGATGGCAGCACAGGTGAAGCGCTGGGCGGAGGACAGGAACATCGTGAAGACAACGGTGCCAGGCGATGCCTTCAAGGAGAATGGCCGAGTGGAAGCGGAAATCGGGGTCCCCAAGAGAGCGACCAGAACGCTGCTCAAGGCGGGGGGGAGAACCAGCTACCACGTGGCCGATGGAGTTGAGGCATGCTGGAGAACGACGTCTTCGTAGGCAACTGCAAGCGGTGGGTTTACCGGTGAAGGAGATGCTACCATGGGGCACGATCGCCTACGTAAGAAAGAAGAGCTGGAATGAACGGTATCAGGACTGGAGGTTCGACCGGGAGCGGGTCAAGATCATGGGCCCGGGACGCGTCTATGTCAGCAACATCAGGAGGCTACTGGGTGCGAAGCTGCGGAGATGGACGGTATTTCGCAACCACGGACGCGATCAGGGAGATCATCGACCCGGGCGAAGAAGTGATACTAGAAGAACGAGCCGGACCAGACCTCTTGATGCCGAGAGCCGAGAGACCCAGGAGGCGGTGGAGGGAGAAAACAGCTATGTCGACGATGGTTGTCGAGGGGGGGAAGATGGAGAATCAGGCCCACTTCGAAAATTGGCACAAACATGCCACCCATTGGTCAAAGAGGAGCTGGAAATTTTGGATGCTGACCAAGAAATGTGTTTGGGCTTCAGAGGAGGAACCACATTGAGGCGGCATTGAACCGGATGCAGGTGGAGAGCGCAGCCCGAATGGTTGGTGACGAAGACCGTACCAATGTGTGAAGTCAGGAGTGAGTTGGAGGAATGGAGAGGTGCTGCGAAGAAAGAATGTGCTGCACTGGCGGAGGAGAGTAAGGCCGTCAAGCCGATCAGGAAGAGGGACATCGACCAGATTGAGGGCCCGGTGGAAGTCCTTCCAGCAAAGGCAGTGTGTACACGGAAGTCGCCGGATGGACGGAGAAAGGTCGGGGCGTGGTGTGCGGGAACTATTCGGCGGGCAAGGATGCGGAGAAGATGTACGCGGGAGGGGCGGATGGTTTGCAAATCCGTATGGTATTGCGAACCGCAGGTCGGCGGAAATGGAGCCTTTTGTGCACCGACATCCACACGGCATTCCTCAACGCACCACGCCGAGAGGATGGAAGGACAATCATCATGGAGGTGCCGTCGGTGTTCAAGGAGTCGGGCATAGCAAAGAGAGATGAGATGTGGATCGTCGACAAGGCGGTCTATGGTCTGACCAATAGTTTTCACAGAGACCAGGAGATCAGGAAAATGGAATGGGCATTTGGAGGACGGGTGATGAAGTTTCAGGAGACCGAGGAGCCCAGGATTGTGGAGGTGCGGTGCAAGGCTATGTCGACGTGATGTTGGCTGGCGAGGATGAGATCATTGAAGCGGCCAGGGCAAAGATGGATGAGGGAGATTGGAGATTGTCTCCAGCAGAATGGGCAACGGAGGAGGTGCCTATGAGGTTCTGTGGCTTTGAGGTTTACAAGAAGGACGAGGGCTACCTGGTGAATCAGAAGGCCTTCGCGGAAGATTTGGTCACCAAGTGGAACATCCAGGAGGGCACGGAGGTGTTAACCTACAAGCTGCCAGATGAGAACAGCAAGGACGGAACTGCGGAGGAGATCAGGGAAGCCCAGGCCATAACGGGTGCGTTGTTGTGGCTAGCATCGAAGATGCGACCCGACATTGCGGCGGCGGTAGCAGCAATGTTGAGATGGACAAAGAAAGGTGTAGAGGTCGTCAACTTGGGCAAGGACGTGTTGAAGTATGTCAAGGGCACGACTGGGCGAGGTCTACACTACGGGCCAGTGGGAGGATGGGCTTCGAGAGAAGGCATTGGAATAAAAAACCAGAAGAACATGGTGGAGGTCTTTGCGGACATCTCCTATGCTTCGGGTGGTGAGGACAAGAGCGCGCAGGGCATCGTGGGCTTTGTGGGAGCTCCAATTTGTTGGGAGTCAGTGCGCCAGCGTGGCTCAGA